CAAAAGCTGAGAAAAAGCCAGCAGACACAGGGGGGCAGCAGTGTAATCCTGTTTGCCTGGGAGCTTGGGGCTTTCTTCTTACCCATGTGTTCCTCTGGGAGAAATCACGGAGGCTCCGCCCAGCTGTAAAATGCTATTTCAGTGGGCGCCCGTTCCTTCAATCAGACTTCGTTTTATCCTTCGTAGTGGTGTTCACAAGGCATCCCCAACAGAAGAGCCCCTCCTGCCTCAGTTAATACGGGTCTGATTTCCTGCTCTGCTGCGTGGTGTCCTACGTGCCTCCTGCTCACAGAGCCAGTCTCCTTCTCTGTACAGAAGGCGTCACATGAGATGGGCAAGCTGTAACTTCTGATATGCTCTGCAGAGGCTAGATTTTCAAAACAACATGGTTATGAAAATGACCGTTTTTCTCGAAGGCTTGTTTGTTTTCCTTTTTTGGGGGACAAGTTTCTCACTGAAGGCGTTGATGATGTCTGGGTCTGAGTCTACAAGAACACCGATTTCTGCCAGACATTTCCCTTGGCCTAGGGGGATCGCTGAGCGGGTGTCTTTGCTTATGATGCATGGCCAAGGCTCCTGCTGCCGTGTCCCCCCTTGCCATGCCAGCATTTGCACACTGGGTGGCAGTTTGGACTCCAGAACATGACCAAAGCAGAGAGAGAGAGAACTGAGACACATAGCCTTTTACTTCTCTTCTCCAATTTCAGTCTCTCTGTTCCTGTGATTCCAAGACAGGAGATGAGCCTCCTAGTCTCCGACCTCTTTATTTTTACTTTGATTCTTGCTAAATCCACGACTCGTGATTTAGTAGTTGTCATGTTGGACGCAGTGACGAGAGCTGGCTGAAAACCTATGGAAGGAGAAAGGAGAAGGCCAGCGTGGAGAGCATCTCACTGCGCATGTCGGGGTTTCTCTGAGCAGGAGCATAGGATCGAAAACACGTGACGACCAGAGAGCAGGGTGGCGCTGGGCCTCTGCTCAGCTGGCGGCATGGAGCGGTCCTGATGGCGGCAGGCGATGGCAGGTGGTGTCGTCGGCACTTTCTAAATGTCATGTGCCCTCACAGTAGCCCCGGGGGCAGGGACTACTACGACTTTTATGTTTTCCTGAACAGGAAGCTGAAACTAGGAGCTTATGTAATTTGCTCCTGGTCACAGAGCTGGTAGATGGTGGGGCAGGGATTCGAACCCGCTTTGTCTGAGCCAAGAAACAGTTCTTTTTTTTTTTTTTTAAAGATTTTATTTATTTGACAGAGATCACAAGTAGGCAGAGAGAGAGAGGAAGGGAAGCAGGCTTCCCGCTGAGCAGAGAGCCCAATGCGTGGCTCGATCCCAGGACCCCTGAGATCATGACTCGAGCCGAAGGCAGAGGCTTTAACCCACTGAGCCACTCAGGCGCCCCCCAAGAAACAATTCTTAACCACCATGCCACAGGCTTTAGTAGAAAGAAAGCTGTGTTTCATTGCTAGTGATGGGCGAGGAGACAGTCACATCACTGCCTGTTTTCAGGTTGCACTTACGAGGTCTCTGAGTGGAGGAAGTCTCTGGCCAGAGAGGTGGGACATCATGCCCATCACCAAGAGAGCACTGTCAAAGGAGCACTGATGAAAAGGAGGCTGGGACAAAGCGGGAGATTCATCTTAGAACTGCCCCCCACCTTCCTCTTTATCATCTGTGTACAACGAATATTCACTCGTGTAACTGTTTACCAGTTGTGGACCGTGAGCTCCGGGAGGGCAGGAATTGTACCCATGTGTTCCCGGCTATACACCCAGGGTCTAGAACTCCCAGCACACAGTAGGTCCTCAGTGCATATTTCTGGAACTTATGAATGAAAAGAGATTGAAAAACTGGACAGGAAGTGGTTGGGAAATGAATGAAGGGTGGGAGTTGAAAAGGTTTTAGAGGACTTTCGGTCTGTCTCCTCCTCTTCCGGTGGTGGAAGCTGAGTCTCAACGACTTTTGCTAACTGAGCACCTAATGTAAGCAGAGCCTTAAGTTCTCTCACATCATCTGCTTGGGGGCAGCTCCAGGAGGCTGCCCGACGCGCCTCTTTTCTGACCGCCTGAAGTGCAGTTGTACAAGCTCCCTCTTGAGGGGTGCCTGGGTGTCTCAGTTGGTTGAGCAACGGACTCTTGGTTTTGACTCAGGTTGTGGTCTCAAGGTCCTGGGATCAAGCCCCATGTTGAGCCCCATGTCTGGCTCCGTGCTCAGTGGGGAGTCGCTCTCTCTCTAAATAAATAGATTAAAAAAGAAATCTTTAAAATGTCCATCTTTGGGGTGCCTGGGTGGCTCAGTGGGTTAAGCCTCTGCCTACAGCTCAGGTCATGATCCCAGGGTCCTGGGATCGAGTCCTGCATCGGGCTCTCTGCTCAGTGGGGAGCCTGCTTCTCTGTCTGCCTCTCTCTCTCTCTCTCTCTGTCTACCTCTCTTCCTCCTTGTGATCTCTGTCAAATAAATAAAACCTTAAAAAATTTTTTTTTAGAAGTCAATCTTTAATGACCTCTGCAGGGGCCTATGAGAGATGCTGGCAGAATAGCCCCTTCCGGGTGAGGTGGTCTTGGCTGGGCTGCGTGCTGGTAACCGGCCCACACTCACAGCCCTCCAGGGAAGGCCCTGCCAGGCATGCGGTAATGAATGTAACGGTCCCAGCACCGACAGGAGATCACAAACACGGGTGTGATGCCAGTCTTGGTTCGCGCTACCTGTCGGGCAGAAAGTGAAATAGGGTGATGTGGTGGGGAGTGCCAGGCTTCTTTAGGTTGGGTTCCCGCCTGTCTGATGAGATGACATTTCAACTGAGGTCCCTCATCGGGTAGGAGGGTGCCGGCCGTGCAGAGATCTGGGGAAGGAACGTGACAGGAGAACTCGGGCGAGCTTGGTGTGTCTGAAGAACAGCAGGAAGGGCAGCAGGCGGACATGGCATGATCGAGGAGGCGAGTGGTAACAGATTATGGAGGAGGGGTGAGGCGAGGCCTGAGTACACGGAGTCTTGAAGGCCAGGGTGAGATGCTTTGGTTTTATTCTAGCAGGATGGGGAGCCCGTTGGAAGGTTGTAAGAAGATGGAAAGGTACAATGAGATGTATTTATAACATGGCAGTATATGGAGGAGAGGTTTGATAGTGGGACAGTGGAAGCAGGGAGGCCAGCTCAGAGGCGGTGGCCATGGTCTGGGAGGCAGGTGGTGGGGCTGGGACCAGGCTGGTGGCTGTAAGGGTGGAGAGAGGACACAGACTTTAGATTTATATTGGAGATGGAGTCTACAGGACTAGCTAATGGGTTCATGTGAGGAGTGAAAGAGTGAAATTAAGGGTAAATCCTAGATTTTTGGCTCAGGCTTGTGGTACTCGTTCTGATGGGAGGATAAGGAAGAGCTTACTTGTGGGAAAAACTCAAGAGTTCTGTTTTGGACCTGTTACCTTGGAGACATGAGACGTTTAAGGTGAAACTTGAAAGATGAATGGGATCTCACTGAGAATGGGAAAGAAGAAAGGACATTCTGGAAGGAGCAGCGTGGGGTGAGGGAGTCCGTACGTAGTGGAGGAGGGAAAGACAGCTCATCAGTCCGTGTGGCTGGTGCACTTCCGAGACAAGACGAGAGGAGTGGAAAGATGATTTCCTGATGAAAGAGATAATGCGTTCTTTTTGCCCTTTGATCCTTATTAGAGCCCAAGCATTTGTGCTGAGCAGAATAAGTAGGAAGACATTACTCTGTCACGTTAGACAATGTCAGCTGTTCGTCCCACTGATGTGCCAGAAATACACCCCATCAGAGTTCTCAGAATCAAATGGCAGTCACCAAACGGCTAAGCCGTCTCACTGACTCTGGTTTCTTTTTTAGCGGTGCTCTGCGCAGGGGCCACTCTCGGTCTGACCCTCTCGTGGAGCACCTGCTGTGTAGACAAGGAGGGTTCCGCCAGTAGTCGCCCTTCAGTGCGGTGACTCTCAGCCCTCCTAGACCTGAGATCTTCTTTCGGGGAACTCGTGGTTTGTGGCATCCCTTTGCTGTCCTGAGATACTATTCATGGTTAATATAACCAGCTCACACACATCACGGCAAACGGTATAATATCTCAGTTGCAGCAAAGGAGAAATAAAAGGAAAATGGTTGAAAATAAAATGCTGGTATTGATACCCAAACATTGAGTGTAGGGAGGTATTTAGACATGGCATGATTTTCAAAATGCCAGTTGTGTCTCAGTAAAGAGCTGAACACAGCCGCGTACAATTGACCCTTAGTTTACATGGTAGCTGCTTTCCTGAAAATTCAGTGTATGTTAAGATCATGCAAAGCAAGTGCTCCGTGTTCATATGTAACAGTGAGGTTCCAGGCTCGGCCAATTACAAAACAGCTTCTCACCTGAAAGAATGTTATGATGTTAGAATGTTATGCAGGAACGTCTTGGACATCGCAGGACATCTTAACATGCAAATTTTTGGAAATGTCCCTGTGGCTGGTAGCAGTCCTGCTAAGAACCACAGCTTTGGCTGTTCTATGGGCCACGGGGATGCTGGTACCTCTGTATCAGAGGACACATTGACCTCCACCCTCCCATCCCCCCAGTCTACGCTGTAACCTTTGCATGAATGGGGCATTGTCTGCCTTGTTCCTGTTCTATCCCCAGGACTTGGCGCAAGATGCGTCCTTAGAAAACATTGTTGAAGGAAAGGATGGGTGGATGCATTGATGGATGGACAGACGGATGGATGGATGAAAAGAGATTTTTCTCTTTGTTCTGTTTTGCGGAGCAATCCTTTAGTTTTTTTCTCATTCTCTGTTATGACGTGGGAAGGCTTTTAAAAATGATCCATGAGATAAGAAGTAGTAGAAGTCTCTTCTACTCCACTTCTTGAATTACAGGTGCTTTGATCAAAATGTCTATTTTTAGCTGAGTGCCATCTGAGCTGTCACCTGTCTGAGCTTTTATTTTGTTAAACCTGGGAATGTAGATCATTTTGAGAATGTAAATCTACTTATGGCTCTTCTCCTTTCTTTCTAGTGTGGGAGGAGTTGGCCTGCTATGAAGAAAACACACGGGATTTCCTTTTCCCTGAACCCAAGCTGACACCTTCGCTCCCTGGGATGTGCCGGGAGGTGCTCATGAAGACGATCGCGGGGTTTCCAGTAAGTGGTTCATGCCCAGCCGGACTTCAGTGGGGAGAAACTCTTGGGACTTGGACATCTTATTTCTGATAGGGCTTGTTCTTGGGCAGATCATGGCATCTCAGTTGGTACTCCTAGTGGCCCCGTTTAGATGCCCCATTCAAAACCCCGATTATATTGATTCCCACTGCTGATCCGAGAGGTGTGGGTGTCTTAACCTATCAGGCCAAATCATTGCCTTGTTCATACTGTCACTTACTTCTAAGGATGCTTTCCCCCCTCCTCTTAATGCAGATTAATGGAAAGACTTGATGTTTCTGTAGTGATAATGGAAGCAAATAGAGTCGTGAGAGTAATAATGCTGCCTCTCATTTCTTTTGAGCTTTTGAGTTTTCCTCTGGTGTGTTTTTTGTTTTTGTTTTTTTAAAGATTTTATTTATTTATTTGACAGAGATCACAAGTAGGCAGAGAGGCAGGCGAGGAGGGGGGCGGAAGCAGTCTCCCTGCCGAGCAGAGAGCCCGATGTGGGGCTCGATCCCAGGACCCTGGGATGACAACCTGAGTTGAAGGCAGAGGCTTTAACCCACTGAGCCACCCAGGCACCCCTCCTCTGGTATGTTATTTTCCTCGTGCTATCTCTCCTGTCAGCCAAGGCATATTCAGAGTCTCCACTTAATGGAAGGGAAAGGGACAGAGGCTAACAGTGAGACTACAGAAGGATCTTGAACGACACAGCAGTTACTCCCATGGCAGTCTGTTTACCTGAACCCAAACTCGGCATATTCATTTTGATGGTATCTCTGGTGGTTTCTAACCCCACAGCAGCTCTGACAGTTTCCTCAACCTTTATGTTACTCAGAGGGCCTCTGTTGGAAGGGCCACAGCTTTATGAATTTAAAAAGCCTATTTAATACTCACCCCTGCTCTTACTCCCCCATGAATCGCTGTAGTTATAATCTCATAAAATGTCATTGCCTCCTGTTTTGTTGAGAGTACGGTGTAGAATACGTAACACGAAGGACCCTTGTTTCTGTGATGTTTATGGTGACAGAACTTCTAATATTTCAAGCAGCAAACATTCATCCAAAGTTGTCCTCCTCCGAACTGCTAATGAGCATAACTTTTATTTATTTTATTTTTATTTTTTTTAAAGATTTTATTTATTTATTTGACAGAGATCACGAGTAGGCAGAGAGGCAGGCAGAGAGAGAGAGGAAGGCAAGCAGGCTCCCGGGTGAGCAGAGAGCCAGACACGGGGCTCGATCCCAGGACCTTGGGATCATGACCCGAGCCGAAGGCAGAGGCTTTAACCCACTGAGCCACCCAGGTGCCTCTGAGCATAACTTTTAAACCCTCCATAATCATGATGGTTTGGTGAAGATCACAGACACCATTTTTTCCCCTCAGAGATACTCTCTTTGTCTGTCACTTATATCCGTGGTACTTGTGAGAATGCTTGCCTTTGTTATTTAGAGCTCTTGGTATACTGCTCTCCCGAAGTTAAAAGGATAAAAACCGGTGCCCATCACATGGGGGTTACTCTTCATATTAACTGTGGTTTGCCTGAGTTTTCTATTAAGTCAAAGCCATCTGCAAACACGGGGCTGGTATCCAGCTGGGTATCAAGACGAGGAGAAACACACGGTCTTATCTTCTCCCAAATGTCATCTCTGTTTAACTTTGTGAGCACAAGTAGGAAGAAGAACATATAGGAAGTTGTGTTTAGTTACTCACAAAGGCAGGTAATCATCAGAGAAAGGGCTTGAAAACTGCTGGGAAAGATCCTCATGCATTAGGGGTAAAGTATCAGTAAAGTTAATGAAACTATGTTTAAAACAATTTGGAAAAAGATAGAGGAGCTCAGTTTTTCTCAAATGTTCTAGAAGGCAAAACAAAACCGGTTGGCATAGTTTTAATGAAGGCTGACCTTCGCTGAGTGCTCAACTTGATGCCAGGAACCGTGCTGAGTTTGATACATGACTGACCTTGTTCAGTCCTCCTTAACCCTGCAAGGTGGCTGCCATTCTTTTCTGGTTTTGGGGCTGGGGAAGCTGGCACAGGGAGTTTAATGTGCTCAAAGCCTCCCAGAGAGGGTTATCGTGCTGGCCTGTCGGACTTCAAAGTCCGCACGCTTGATCGCAGCGAGAGGCTGATTCTCTCACATTTCTGTCAGCCCAGTGTCCACTTTGTCTTCATTAATATTGTAGAACATGAGTGTGGATTATGTGTGCTGGTCAGGCAAATCATTCGTTTGTTTTCTCTTATTATTTCATTAAAAATTAGACTTATTTCCTCCATAGAAGTGTGACTTTTTCTTTGTATTTCCACATTTCATTTTATTTCACTTGATACCTTGACAGCTTTTTCTCCTTCCTTTCCTTGGCAAGGTCAAGAATTTTTTTTGTTTCGCTTTGTTTGGGCTTTTTGCATAATTTGATTTCTTTGTAAACTGAGCTTTTTGACCAATGTGGGGCTTGAACTCACGACCCCAAGATCAAGAGTCGCATGCTCTACCGACTGAGCCAGCCAGGAGCCCCAAGAATTTTCTTCTTTTTTTTTTAAAGATTTTATTTATTTGACACAGAGAGAGAGATATCACAAATAGGCAGAGAGGCAGGCAGAGAGAGAGGGGGAAGCAGGCTCCCCGCCAAGCAGAGAGCCCGATGCAGGGCTTGATCCCAGGACCCTGGGATCATGACCTGAGCCGAAGGCAGAGGCTTTAACCCACTGAGCCACCCAGGCACCCCAAGAATTTTCTTTTTTAATATAATTTGTTTTCTTGTTAGGTGAAGACTGACTTTGTAAAGTAAGCAGAAAGAATATTATTATTTCTTAATTATTAACTTGTAGCTGATCATTTCATTTTTCCTTTGGTGTTGGAATTCTTGAAAAATTGTACTGTGAAATCTGTTTGTTGACTTAACCATTATCACCTTCCTCCCGTTGCTAAGGAAACTGGACAAGAGAGAACCTGTAAATTTCAGCTCTAAACTATTAAGCTAAAATCAGTACTGCTGTGAAAAAGGAAGTACATTCTTCCTTATTGTCTGTAAGTCATTGTCAGGGGTCGAGGTTCTAGGAGGTGAACAGGAATGTGTTACAGGGTGTGGACTCCTGGCAGGTAGGGCACCCTCTTCCTCCTCTCCAGGCAACATGGAGCAGGGGCCTGAAGGCCAGCTAGACAGCCACAGGTGCAGGAGTTAAGGCTGGACCCCGACTGCCTGGGTTCAGTCCCAGTTTTGTTGCTCAGTGACTGTGACTTTGGGTAAATTACTTAGTCTCTGTGTACCTTAGTTTCCTCACCTATAAAATGGGCTGATATTAGTCCTTCCCCCATCGGGTTAAATGAGGGTTAAATCTATGTGTAGGGTTTCGCATGCTGTCTGGAAGTACGGGCAAGTACATAATGTGAGCGGTTACAGTTTGTCGTACTGTCATTCAGGGGTTAACACGGCCTCTCCGCGAGGCGATGAGACAGCGGCACAAGTCGGTGCCTCAGGTGGGGACTTGTTCAGGGTCGGACAGCCCCTTACCCCAGCCACTGGTCTGTTCTTCATCAGGGGACTAGAAGTTTTGCCTTTTTTGGAAGGTCATGTAAATGGAATCATAGTCTACAACCCTTTGAGACTGGCTTCTTTCACTTTGAAAAATGCCATTGTGAGCCGTCCATGTGATGGCGTGTGTCAGTAGTCTGTTCTTCATTACCACTGACCGTGTGTCTGTGTGCGTCCGTGTGCGTCTGTGTGCACGTGTGTGTATGTGTGCGTCTGTGTGCGCCTATGTGTGTCTGTGTCCGTCTGTGTGCATCTGTGTGCGCGTGTGTATGTCTGTGTGCATCTTTGTGTGTCTGTGTATGTCTGTGTGTGCCTGCGTGCGTCTGTGTCCGTCTGTGTGCGTGTGTGTATGTCTGTATGTGTCTGTGTATGTCTGTGTGCGTCTGTGTGTGTCTGTGTGTGTCTGTGTGTGTCTGTGTCCGTCTGTGTGTGCCTGTGTGCATCTGTGTGCGCGTGCACATTATTCAGTGTGGTACCCGTCAGAGACAGGAGTGCCGATCAATGAAACAAAATGGAGAGTTTGGGAATAGAGCTAAGGAACATAAATATTTGGTACAATACAAAGCACGTTTTTCAAAGCAAGCAGGTGGGGAAGGAGGACCTCTGGGTATCGCTCTTCCCAGATAATGTCACTCAATCCTACGGGTCAGCGCATTAAAGAGAATAGCTAACGGCATGAACGCTGGAGCCAGAGCGCCCGGGTCCAGCGACCAGCCCGGCCATCACCAGCGGTCAGCTGACTTAGTTACTCCTCCACAGAGTCCAGATTCTGGAGCTCCACCTCACGGGGTTGTTGGGAGGATCCGATGGGTTGTTAAACGCAGAGCACTTAGGTCAAGGCCTGGCACAGATTGAATGTTACACAGGGCATAGCTCTTCTCATTATGCTTATGTTTTTTCAGTTTTACTGATGTATAATCAACAAATAAATATTGTATACACTTAAGGTATACAACTTGATGTTTTGATACACAATGTGAAATAATTGCCACATCAAGCTAATTAACTTATCCATCACTTATTACTCATTTAGCCTTTTCTTTCTTTTTTTTCTTCCCTTCCCTCTTCCTTCCTTTCTTCCTCCCCCCTTTCTCCTTTTTATTTCTTTCTCCCTTTTCTTTCTTTCTTTTTTCTTTCTTTTCTCTCTGTGTCTCTTTCTCTCTCTCTCTTTCTCCCTCCCTTCCTCCATCCTTCCTTCCTTCTTGTAGTGAGGATACATAAGATCTACCCTCATAGAAAATTTCAAATTTACAGTATAGTATTATTAACTATGGTCACCTTGCTGCACATCAGCTAGACCTCTAGAACTTAGTCATCTTGCATAACTAACTGAAACTTTGTGCCCTTGGCCACCATCTCCCCATTTCCCCCATCCTCCAGCCCCTACTGGGAACAGCATTCTCCTCTCTGCTTCGATGAGTTTAACTGTTTTAGATCCCACACATAAGTCAGGCACACCATATTTGTCTCTCTGTGTCTGGCTTATTTTACTTAGTATGATGTCCTCTAGATTATTCTATGTGGTCATAAAAGTTGGGATTTCTTTCTTTTTAAAGGCTGGATAGTATTTCATCGTATATATATATTTGTTATGTATATATTGTAGGTAATATGTGTGGATTATGCCAACCACACAAAAAAGTAATTAAGTGCTTACATGCTTTCAAGTTAGATGATGTGGGCCAAAAATATATTTCCAATAATTTTATTTGCTTCTTTTATGCTGTTTTATTTTTAGGGCATTGCTCCCAAAATAGAGTTTTCTACAAGGACAGCCATCAGAGAACGTGTGTTTCTGCAAAGAAACAGATTTCCTGTAAGTATAACCAAGAACCCAGTGATAGAACTGTCAGGAATTTTCTCCACAGACTTAAAGAATCTCAGCCCATCACCAAGTTTCAATGCAACTGGATGAATAGAAACCTGGAGATTTATTGCTGGGTTTGAATTTCCATATTCAAATTATTTGTTCAGCCCTATCACATTTGACCGAGTGCTTTTGACAGGTGTTCATCATGGTCTCGTTGGTGGAAGAGATGCAAAAGCTAAAATCACAAGTTTGACGTAAGGTGGCTGCTTAGCTTTCTTGTTCCTGTTTTGTGACTTTTGCCCTTGATCGTTTGAATAATAGCGTCCCTTCGTTCTTCTCCTGAAGCCGCAGCACAGAGCTATATTGGTGGGCTGTCTTTGGCGATCACGAAGGGCCTTGGGGCGTCCTTGAGCACTCTTCCATTTCTCTGTCATGCTGACTGCTTTCGGTGTTTCTTTTTACCTTATTGTACATAATTTTTAACCATTTAAAATATCTTCTAGAACAATATGGAAAATGAATGAATGTACTTTGTAAAGCTTCTTCAGGGGCTTTGCTTGTCATCCCAAATGTTGCCTGGATGTCCTGGAAAATCCTTGAAAGTGTAGACTATGGGTTAAGGGCTACTGAACGCAGAGGGTCACTGATCCGTGCAAAGCCATCAGTCCTCTGGGCATCACAACTCAGGAGGCCAATGATTAATTCTGGAAGGCATTGGCTGTTTTTTATTTTTAAAAATTTTTTTTAAATTTATGTTTTAGAAAGAGAGAGCATGAGCAGGAGGGGCAGAGGGAAGAGGGAGAGAGAATCCCAAGCAAACTACACTGAGCACAGAGCTGGATGTGGGGCTCGATCTCATGACCCTGAAATCACAACCAGAGCCGAAATCAAGAGTTGGATGCTAAGTGACGGAGCCACCCCGGCGCCCCCGTGTTGGCTGCTTTTTAGTTTCTCCCTATTTACCCACTATTTTCTCTAATCTGATATGGGTGCACAGTGATTTTTATTATTTTTTTAAAAGATTATTTATTTATTTGACAGACAGATCACAAGTAGGCAGAAAAGCAGGCAGAGAAAGAGAGGAGGAAGCAGGCTCCCTGCTGAGTAGAGAGCCAGAAGCGGGGCTGGATCCCAGGATCCTGGGATCATGACCTGAGCTGAAGGTAGAGACTAACTCACTGAGCCACCCAGGTACCCCACACAGTGATTTTTTTCAGTCTGTCTCTCTTTTCTACTCTGCCATTTTAATATTGTTTTGGCCTCTTAATATCGGTCTTCATTAAATCTTAACTTTTTAAAGTAGTACCTCTTATCGTTTTTTTCCTTATAACAAAAGTACTTAGTTTAGAACACTGGAAAATGCAGATAAGCAAACCAAACTAAAAATTGCCTGTCATCCTTATTATGCAGACATGAGCATGACTCATTTTTTTGAGTATATTCTTCTGTACACACAGACACAGACACACACACACACACACACACATTATTTTAATGTTAAAATATTGGGATCATGCAATACTGCATATGATTTTGTATTTTTCATTTTTCACTTAATACTCCACAAACATGTTTCTAACAATCTTTTTGTTGTTGTTTAAAGATTTTATTTACTTATTTATTTGACAGAGAGAGAAAACACAGGCAGGAAGAGTGGCAGGCAGAGGGAGAAGCAGGCTCTCTGCCGAGCAAGGAGCCCGATGCAAGGCTCAGTCCCAGGACCCTGGGATCATGACCTGAGCCAAAGGCAGACGCTTAATGACTAAGCCACCCTGGCACCCCTAACATCCTTTTTTTTTTTTTTTTTTTAAGATTTATTTATTTTAGAGAGAGAGCACGAGGAGGGGGAGGGGCAGTAGAAGATGGAGAGAATCTCAAGCCGAATCCACCCTGTGCCTGGAGCCTGATGTGGGGGGCTTGATCTCACGACCCTGAGATCATTACCTGAGCGGAAACCAAGAATCAGATGCTTAACTGACTGAGCCACCCAGGTGCCCCATTTCTCACATCCTTAAGTATCCTTAGGCCATGCAGTTTTTCACAGCTTCATAATTGGCGGTTGTATGGACGTACCATGATTTGGCCAATGGTTTTCTTGTTGGGTTCTTCACTGATACAGTAGTCAGAGTCTGGTCAGGAAGCAAAACCACACCTGTTCTTTTAGTAAAAAGATCTAATTATTATTATTATTTTTTAAAGGCCAAACAGGGATTAAAGGACTGAAGGACTGAGGGTAAAAGGGGACACGAAGTGACAGACATAGTATTTTGAGGAAGCGGCTTCCATCCCTAGGGCTGAGGGACGAGAGGAAGAGGTGGGGTCATTAAGCTCATAGGAGCCTGCGGGAGAGACCCCACACAGGTGGGACCAGAGCTGTGGGGAGGGGCTGCTTGCCTGAGCGCTTCCTCAGGGGTTCAGAGACGGGGCTCTGCTGAGTGGGACTCGGACCTCTTGGAGGGACAGTGCTCACTGCTGGTGCCTCTGGAGCTTGGAGGGAGGGTCCGGTGGGGCAAGACTCAGAGCTCTGAGCAGGGGACTCTGGCCGGCTGGTGCTGGTAGATCTGAGCGGGGCGCACTGAGGCCGGGTCTGGGGTTATTGGGGCGAAAACTAAACACTGGCCCCGTGTGCCTCTCTCACGGTGAAGCCCCGTGGCTGGGGTGACGCTCACGGGAGTAGAAGGCAGAACTCAGTGGGAATCCTGGCTTCCTCCTCCCGTTTTCAGTTTCCCTCTGGCGCCCCCTAGTGGTGGAGCCTCTGCTGAACGGCGGGCCGAACAGAAGGGTTTGCCCCTGTATCCCAAAGCTGAGTATCAGCCACGTGGGTTTGGAGCAGAGAGGAAATTGCTTACCAGTATAAATGATTTCTCATTGTTTGAATGCTTATTATATATATATATATATATATATACGTATACATATACATATACATATATATATATAATATATATAATATAGCTGGCGCGCCTGGGTAGCTCAGTCAGTTAAATGTCTGCCTTCAGCTCAGGTCATGATCTTACCGTCCTGGGATCAAGTCCCTCATGGGGCTCCCTGCTGAGAAGGGACATCGGCTTCTCCCTCTCCCATTGCCCCTGCCCCGTCCTCTCTCTTTCTTAAATAAAAAAGAAAAAGAATGTAGCTATACAGATACAGAGTTATTTCCTTATAATGAATTCCTTAACGTGAAACTGCTGGGCCAGAATGTATGCCTGATTCAGCCCCTCCCCCCAATATCTGTGATGAGGGGTGTCTGATACCTTCCAACTTCCTCCTAATGCAAAAATTTTTCACTGTTTGAAATATATGATGCCAGCCTAGTAAGTGATGTTAAGCTGAGCTGAAGAAAAACTAAGGAGAGAACACCCTTTCTTAAGTTCACGTTTGGCAAATCTGAGATGTTCAGTCTTCTTCCTGAGTTAGACAAAGTTCCGTTCAATACAGTTCTATCCTGATTGAATTTTTCTTCCTTTTTCTCCCATTTTCCATTTTTATTTTTATTTTTTTAAAAGATTTTATTTATTTGACAGGCAGAGATCACAAGTAGGCAGAGAGGCAGGCAGAAGGAGGGGGAAGCAGGCTCGCTGCTGAGCAGAGAGCCTGACGAGGGGCTCGATCCCAGGATCCTGGGATCATGACCTGACCTGAAGGCAGAGGCTTTAACTACTGAGCCACCCAGGCGCCCCCCGTTTTCCATTTTTAAAAACAGCGTTTCTTGTTTTTGTTCCAGGAAGAAAGATATAATAACTCAGGAAGGCCTTTATCTGCAACAGATGGACCCAAACTCCCCTTAAATAATACGAAGAGGAAGCCAAAGGACAGTAATCTCAACAGACTGCCCCAAAGCGTGCAAACCCACGTTCCCTCTCCTGTGTCCGCCCGACGCTGCTTTCACGGCCAGCCTGCTCAGCTGAACCTTGGAAACAACATCAGGCTCTCCAGGGGAAGCAAACCTCCATTTGTAGTGAGACACGTGAGCCTTAAATAATTTTTCAGAGTCTGGAAGGGTGAAGGTGCGAATGAGGAGAAAACCCAGGAAGGCTGGGCCGTAAGAACACGTGGGTGATACTAAATAAAGGGGGAATTCTTTTTTTTTTTTTTTTTTTAACTGGAAACATTTTATTGTTTTTTAATTTATTATTTTTTAATGTATTTTTTATTATGTTCAATTAACCAACACATAGTACATTGTCAGTTTTTGACATAGTGTTCAACATTTCATTAGTGGCATATAACACCCCGTGCTCATCACCACACGTGCCCTCCTTGATACCCACCACCCAGTCACCCTGTCCTCCCACCCCTTCCCTTCTGTAACCCTCTGTTTGTTTCCCAGAGTCATGGTTTGTCTCCCTCTCTGATTTCTTCCCCTTCAGTTTTCCTTCCCTTCCCCTGTGATCCTCCCCACTATTCCTGATGTGCCACATATGAGTGAGTAATTGTCTTTGTCTGTTTGATTTACTTCACTTAGCATAATCGCCTCCAGTTCCATCCAAGTTGAAGCAAAAGATGGGTATTCATCCTTTCTGATGGCTGAGTAATATTCCATTGTATATATGAACCACGCCTTGATCCATTCATCTGTTCATTTTTTTTTTAAAGATTGTATTTATTTATTTATTTATTTATTTATTTGTCAGAGATAGAGAGAGTAAGAGAGCACACAAGCATGGAGGAGGGGCAGAGACAGAAGCAGGCTCCCCACTGAGCAGGAAGGCCAAGGTGGGACTTGATCTCAGGACCCCAGGATCATGACCTGGGCCAAAGGCAGACACTTAACTGACTGAGCTGCCCAGGTGCCCTTAAAGAGGGAATTCTTGGGGCGCCTGGGTGGCTCAGTGGGTTAAAATCTCTGCATTCGGCTCGGGTCGTGATCTTGGGGTCCTGGGATCGAGCCCCGCATTGGGCTCTCTGCTCAGTGGGGGGCCTGCCTCCCCGCCCTGCCCTCCCTGCCTCTCTGCCTACTTGTCATCTCTGTCAAATAAATAAATAAAACCTTTAAAAAAAAAAGAGGGAATTCAAATTAAATAATAACTATGATTAGCTGAAGTTCGCTGCCTAGAGTCATTGTCAGGAAAGTCATCCAAAGGAACGCCTGAATGGCTCAGTTGGTTAATCGTCTGCCTTTGGCTCAGGCCATGATCCCAGGGTTCTAGGACTGCGTCCCACATCGGGCTCCCTGGTCAGCAGGGAACCTGATTCTCCCTCTGCTTGCTGCTCCCCTTGTTCATGCTCTCTCCCTCTCCCTCTGACAAATAAATAAATAAATCTTAAAAAAAAAAAAAGGAAAGTCATACAAAGATGTCTCATGCAGAGGACTTGCTCAGTACGTGTCAGTCATCCCTATTTTTAATTTTTGGAAATTATTAATAGAGTGTGATCCCTCCCTGTGACAACCTGCCGTTTTTTTTTTTATCCAGAAGGATCAGCGGACTGGCAGGGGTAGAAGACACACATAACAAAGGCTGATGTGTGCTCTGTAGCAATAGAAAAAAGTGCTTGAGTTTTTAAAATGAGGTGGTTGTTTGTTGGCAGGACAAACGTGTCTGCAGGAAGTAGAGGCGATGGGCCTCCTCACAGCCCTCATTAACGCCGGCTTAGATGTAGCCCCCAGGAAGCAGCCGGCACATGTAATCACACTAGCCTCCTGCCATTGTGTTGCCTGGGAGAGTAATGGAAAGTAGAAAAAAATGAAAAAAAAAAATTACCTATTGGCTCACTAGCATAAAAAAAAAGTAAAAAATTTATTCAATTGAGTACATTTCCTTTCACTTTTTACAATTCCATAAGGTTCCCCCGCCACCCCAAAGCTGTAGTTCTACTGGATATCCAGACAAGTTTCTCAATATATACATGGTTAATACGACATTTAAAAGCATCTCTTCACGTTCTTCACGTTCTGGTTAATGACTTATTCTCTGAGAGCTCTTATAATTCCGGTCACTAACTGTTGATATTATTGTCAAGTCGATAACTTGGCTTCAGATCCCTGCTGGTGATGTTTGCGCGTGAACATAAGATACAGAGCGCAGTCAGCCACAAAGTGGGGATGCGACAAGGACGACGGCATGCGGGGCTGGTTTGTAACAGAGGTTACTTGGCTAGAAACCATAGAACAGAACAGCTGTTTTCCTCCTAGTGACTTGGGTAAAAATGGCAAAGTCTAGCAACCAGTCTTTAAACATGGCGTAATAAAACTGTGGTTGAGTTGAATTTATTAGGCAGTCTGCTTCATTCCGTTGGAAGTAGATTTTCGTGAGATACACAGTAGTCGACGCCCCTTGGGCTAAATAATCTTAAAATCTTGGTAGATTTCATAGGGAATAAAACTGGTTTAATATTTATTTTATTTAACAAATTCTCGTACAGTCTCTACTGTGTACCACGCCCTTCTCTAAATGCTTTCTCGGATTCACTCTTATGTAGCCCGATTTCCTGGTCGTATGTGACATTTCTTTAAGTAGAAGCATTAAAATTTAGAGGGTCCTAATGTGAAGACTGGACATTCTAATCAATATATTTCTGAAAGTAGGGTGAAGAATAATGTTATAACTTGCCTGCTTGAAATTAAAAAAAAAAAGATAGAAATAAACAAATAAACAGATAAAAAAAAAATCCAGCAACTCTGTGTCATAAATATTTGGGAGGAGTCCCTATTCCAAATGTTTGGACTGGTTTACAGATTGTCTTGTCCGATTCAGGAACATAAGGTCACCTTCATTAAAATAATGTAGTTGCCACTATTCTTTTTTCCAATGTTCTAGACACTCACACGGGAAGGGAGTGTGGATGGCTAAAATACCAGCCCGTCATCATCCCTTGTCTTCAGGGAGGACCCCATCTAGGCCCACACTGCTCACTGTTTAGGACCATGAAACTCTGTCCTATTTTGAAATATTTTGAAATAAACTCCACTTGCTCTTTGCTGGGCTCGATCCTAAACCTGTGGTTAAAATATCATTGATGTCTGACTTTATGCTAACATTTAGCCCATACCTTCATGCTGAAGCAAGCTTCCCTTGTTGGGATAACACTGAACGTGCCTGGAGACTGGGATTTAATTTGTTCCCGGCCTTTTTTTGCCCGAGTGGCCCACAGCTGAGAGGGAGAAGGCCACTACAGGTAATGAGGAGAGGGTAACACGAGCGATGGTGGGTTCAGATCGTATTTCTTTCCTTTCTTTCAGGTGGACAGTGCAAAGCCTTTTGGCGAGAATATTTCAGAGTATCAGTCCCGAAAGTCGAGAAGAAAACTTAAGTTTTCCAACCTGCCTTTTCCGGGGAGAAGAGGTACTTGAGTTTCTTGTTACGCCCGTATATTCCCCAGTGGGAACAAATGCATCCTCCTTCAAAATCTTCTTTCGTTCTGGGCCATCCAGAGTTTCTCTGGAAACTCGAGGCCTGATTCTCAAGTCGAGTCCAGTGGTGGAGTTGGCAGGGCGGGAGCTCCCCTGGAGCAGAGCCGGAGGAGAAGCTGTCCCTTTCCCAGTTCCCCGAGCTGTGGCAGGAGCGTGCTCCCTGTCACGCCATCACCTGCGAGCTCTGCAGCAGATGCTCCCTGGCTGGGCCGGGCACATGGGGGTCGGCTTGTCCTTGTGTGAACGCCCTCAGAGGCACCGCTGAGAGCTCACAGATGAGGCCTGGCATTTCTCTGGACGGGAAGGAGTGGGAGCTCCGTGGAGATCAGGAGGCATAACCTCTGCTCCTTCCAGGTCAGGGAGGAGGGGAACCAACATGGCCTGAAGCAAGGTTCAGTTAGGTTAAGGCAGGGAATCCCACCCGTGGAGGTGTCAGGACCCTTTTGCCTTCTTAAATATTATTATTTATACAGGTTTTTTTTGTTTTTATTTATACGGATGAGATCTATTAATAGTTTATATAGATGAGATCTATTAATATCTAGCATTTTAGAAATGGAAGCTGAGAAATTTGTAAAATACTGGAATACACAAGCACACCTTCCATTAGCCATTCTGAGTGGTGATGTCATGATGCATCATGTAGCTTTCGGAAACTTCCATTGTACAGTTGTGAGAGAATGAGAAAAAGAGAAGTCCTGTCTTAGTGTTATTGGAACAGTCTTGACCTTGCAGAGCTCCTGAAAGTTCTTGGTGACCCCTGGGGAGATCTCTGGACACAAGATATGTTGAGAGTCACTGAGTAAGTGCATCTCTTGCTGGCGTTGACCTTATGATTGAACCCCCGCACCATATAAGCTCTGAAGGTCATGGTGGTGAAGTTCGTCCATTCCTGAACTTGATCAGAATTCTTAGGCTAGAAATGCCAGCCCGTTTTCTTGACTCCTGGTGGAATTGGACCTAGGCCGTCCCTGATGACAAGTTCCCTATTTTAGGCTTAAAGGCTTGTACTTTAAAGGGGGCCACATGGTCTCTTTTGGTAACTCAAGTCGGTGTTCTTGAATCACGGTGACTGTTAGCAGCCCACCGAGGGCAGAGTGCAAGGTTTGAAGCAGAAGGTGCTTTGTCTCCTCTGACATTTAAGTCCTTTGGATTGAAAATCACCCATGTCTCCTATACAAGCAGCACTGCCTTCCCTCTTACGGTGAAATCAGGCAACGGCAGACATCCTTTCCTGGGGACGACATGTTGGGCTTAATGCTGGCTCGGTTACGATGGGGCTCTCATGCATCACACCGGTCTTGGCCTCTTTGTCTTTTCTTAATCCTGGCAGGTGGAGAAGGGAGGCTCCAGAGAGCTTACAGAGTGTGCACTGGTCACACCCCGAGTGTTTGGCATACCTACATTTAGAGAAGACGTTCAGACCTCTGGTTTCTCAGCTGGAGTCCCCGTAGCTTCCAAGCCAGACCTTTGCTTAGGTCACCTGTCCGCTCATTCATCCAGGCCTAAGGTAGATGAAAGCAGTGCTGCTCAAGCTTGAATGTGCATTTGAATCACCTGGGGGTCTTGTTCAAGAGTAGATTTGAATCAGCAGGGCTGGGGTGGGGCCTGGGAGCCCTCTTTTCTTGCAAGCTTCCAGGTGATGATGTGGCTGGCCCACGGACTGCACTTTGAGAGACAACGGAACAAGGGCTATCCCCCTGTGAGAGGGAGTGCTCCAAACAGTTGCAAGGGGGTTTTTAGGCAGCAGGCACATTTGTGGCTGTGGCTGTAAAGGGCCTTAGCATTGCCAGCGCCCCTGCTCAGCTGGGAGCTGGGGAGAAGACAGCTTCTGGGACAAGACAGACACACCCACGGCTGTGCCTGGAGGCTGTGAGCGCTGGGCTGGAAAAAAGCCCTTTTCGTATCTCTCTTCTTAGTGCTAGTGGCACGGGGGCTTCAGCAATCCTTGAAAAGCCGGTTGTCACTGCCTAAGCCCCAAGCACAGAGGGGGAAGGCACGGTGGCCTTGGCCTGGCCTAGCCTTGCAAAGACTCCTTCCAATAGCATTTTTTTTTTTTTTTTTTGAATTTGGAAAAATCCGATTTAGTCTTGATTCTACCTGTGTGTGTTTATCACATCACTTCCTGGTCATTCTCACCACCCTCTGGCATTAGGTCTGCTTAACTTAGGATCGTTCAGGGTAATGATTACGCTGTGCACCTCTCCTGCCTTATGCTTTCCCCAGCTCTTGTCTCTTTATTGTTTCTACGTAACCTTTGTGTCTACCTTGGACAAGCATGCTCGAGAATTCCTGCATAAATAGGGTTCCACGTAAACCAAAGACAGGGAATGACAGAAGAGGCAGAGTAGATGCATTTTTTTTTTTAAAAGATTATTTATTTATTTATTTGACACAGAGAGAGAGATCACAAGTAGACAGAGAGGCAGGCAGAGAGAGAGAGAGAGAGAGAGGGAAGCAGGTTCCCTGCTGAGCAGAGAGCCCGATGCGGGACTTGATCCCAGGACCCTGAGATCATGACCTGAGCCGAAGGCAGCGGCTTAACCCACTGAGCCACCCAGGCGCCCAGAGTAGATGCATTTTATTTATCTGATAGCCACCTGGCTTTCTTTTAGGCTCTGGGTGCCTGGGCCAGTACGAGTTTTGTTTTCCAGGCTGTGTACGGATTACCGAATTTATGGATTCACTTTAGGCTCTCCTTTGCCCTTCCCACATCCCTGTGTGCTGTCATTAATAACATAACTTCATCGGGCCTCAGGAGGACAGAAACACTCCTAGGTAGGATCGCAGTGACTCAAGGGACATGTAAAAGTTGACAGCGTAACTTACAAGGGAGCATTTAAATTCTTTAATAATTCATCCCCATGTCATATTTCCGTGCTCTGTGGAACAAATGTCACAGTGGTGTTAGGGGTAATTGGTCTTAATGAGTCACTGAAATACCTCTTCCTCTTTCTTCTAGCTGCTTCTCTTGACAGCCTTGCCGCTAACGTAAAGGTAATTGTAGAAATAGCATTTGTGAAATGACTTACTTCCCGCTCTAATGTCGGTTATTGTGCCTTCCCCGACGAGTGGTGGGAAATGTATTGCTAGCAAGTGCTGCTCATGGGAACGCATTGCTGGAGTCTCAGCAGAGTCTGAGCGGTGCCTGGGCCCTCCTGTGTGCTTTGTGCTCGTTGGTTTGTTCCCCTCACCTACGCGCTCTTCATCTGTGGAATGAATCCCCCTGCATGTGGCCCCAGAACCTGCTTCAGGAGTAGGTGTTCTTCCTGCTTTTTTTCCTAAGCGGATACTTTCATAATACATAGAGGTGGTAAGTCACTTGCTCTTGAAGTTTGATTGGTTTGGGAAGATGAAGGCTCAAACTTCGATGTTCCAACATGAAAATAGATACAGGCAAAGAATGGAGTATATGGGGCTTTTCATGCCGTGGCATTTAAATAGTTTATTTAAAAAATGATGTCTTCACCAAACCTGATAATCCCATATGCTCATAAATCAAACCTCAGAGCATGAGTTTCTTTTGGCTTGTGGATATATACCAAATGTGCAGAATTTTGGTTACCTTTCCTTGACCTTGAGCTTCTGAGCATTTTCTCTCTCACACTGCCAGTTCCTTCTCCTCTTTTACTGGGGGAGCTCCCCGGGGGGCAGGCCCTCTATCCGCTTGTCCCCTTTCTCACCCCACCCACCCCCAGCTCTAAATTCAGCAAACGAAAACAAAATCACAGCTGAAGAATCATGCATGTTGTCCCTTAGGTTATCAAAGAGCCAGATGAACGGATTGTTTTAAGGAAAGAATCATTGTCACCTTTCGATTCAAGTAAGTTCGGAAAACCCTCGCCCAGTTACAGTAACCAAGGGGATGCTGATTTCCTCGGGGAAGCTTCGTTTGCCACCTCCCAGCATTCCAGATCCGCCAGCCCTCTTCTGGATGAGCCCCTTCTCTGCGATGAAAGGTCAGTGGCAAGCCCCCCATTTATTTCATTGTGTGAAAAGTGTGTTGTGGTCTAGCAGAAATGAAGCCTGGTCACTCCATCGCTTGCTTCCTTAGGGTTATTCAGCTGTTGATATGAAAAATCAGTGTTCGTTTTTAAGCCTTCCCAGAAGGAAGAGTTGAAGCCTTTTCTCTCGCCTGTGGAAAGCATATCTCAGAATGTTTGTTGAAAACGGGACAAACATGGGGCGCCTGGGTGGCTCAGTGGGTTAAGCCTCTGCGTTAGGCTCAGGTCATGATCCCAGGTCCTGGGATCGAGCCCCGAATCAGGCTCTCTGCTCAGTGAGGAGCCTGTTCCTCCCCCCACCCACCGCCTGCCTCTCTGCCTACTTGTGATTTCTGTCTGTGAAATAAATAAATAACATCTTTAAAAAAAAAAAAGAAAATGGGACAAACAGCTAACTTGGCATAGGTGCTATTTATCTATCCATTTTTGTCTTCCATAAAAAAACAAAAGGAGTGAAAAAAAAATCACCCATAGTTCTGCCACTCAAAGGCAAAGATTATTAACATGTAGGTGTATTTTCTCTTTTTTTTTGGACATGTTTTCTTGGCTTATGTATAGGATTGTCACAAATAACACTCCCCACCTCCCGCCCAGTTGCGTATATGTGGCAGGCAGACCAGAAATCGTTTTTTTGTTTTCCAGACTGTGCCATCTGGTAAAATGACCAGCCATCCAGCTGGCCTGGGACTACTGTGACTTTAGCCCTTGACGTCCTTCATTCTGGGAAACCCCTGATTCCCAGGCAAGCCAGGATGGTCTGGTCACCTTAGCTCCGGGAAAATGGCACTGAAGATAACGTTTTTAAGACAGTTGTTAAAAATGGATAGTTGACATATTATACTAGTTTCAGGCGTACAGAGTAATGATTCCGTTTTAGTGTATATTGCAGAATGATCATCCCAGTAAACCCAGTTTACCTCGGTCACCATACGTAGCTATAGAATTTTGTTTTTTCTACAGAGTGCTGAGAACTCTTAAGATTTATTCTCTCTCTCTCTCTCAAAAAAAAAAAATTTATTCTCTCAGCAACTTTTAAATATCCAAGATGGTGTTAACTGTAGTCTCCACGCATATGTCTATATATTTCTTTTATAACAGGAAATTGTCCTTTTGACTCCCCTGATCCCCAGAGTCCAGCCACCAGCAGTCTGGTCTCTGTAGCTGTGAGCTTATTTGTGTTCTTCCTTAATTCCATCTACAGATGAGAGCACATGGTTTTTGTCTTTCTTAAGACAGTTGTTCTGGGGAAAAAAAAAAAAAAACTAACAAAAAACAAACTGTTATGCCGGTGTCCTCTTCTCTGCACTGTTAGTCATGACAATAAGGAGAGAGAGTCTCGTATCCAAGTGACACGATTGCTCACAAAGGGACTTGGTAGTAAATCCCAGTAGTAGTAAATCCCAGTAGGTAGTATAGTAGGTAGTACTACCCAGTCAGTAGTAAATCCCAGAATGAAAGTCACAATGAAATGAAAGCCCTGCAATTTTAATAGGAATTATATTAAGTTTGACTAAGACTAAGAAAGTGGCCGTGCGTTCTTAGTGCTTTGCAGAAATGATAGAATACATTTACATTGAAATGTTGTATCATAGACTTGAGGAGACCAAGTCAAATATTTTAGTAAAATCTATTAAAGAATGGTGAATTCCTGATTACTTACTTTTTGGGAGGAAAATGACATGAAATAGATTTTTTAAAAACCAGTCCTGGCACGCAGAGACAGGTGGTTAGAGACATTTACGACCCTCTCTCTACTTGGCCTTCGTCTCCTCTTGGCTTAGCCTCTGGACATAAAGATTTAAACAGAGACAGGAAAGGACCTTCAGCTGGTGGTCAGGGGACGTGAGTTCTGGTGCCCATCTGTGTCTAACTGCTGTGTGATCTCACAGAAGTGCTCAGCCTTGTAGACCTTCTAGACTTTGGTTTCCCCATCTGTAAAATGGGTGTGATGATCAAACAGCCATTCTCTTACAGGTACAAAATGGTTCTCTGCTGTCAGAATCAGGGACAGCTTATAGCTTTTGTCCATGTGCCCGTGTTTATACATTTCCCAAACTCCTCGTAATTAGCCTAGTGAGCATTTCTGAGGGACGGAGTTGGGGCTGCCTCTGCTGAGCTCCTACCAGGTGGACTGGGATGGTCAGGATGCGTCCCTGCTTGCCTGTGGCTTCCACACTAGACCGGGAGGCTGGCATACACTCACATCACTGGATGAGATGCGTTTAACAGAAGGACCATCCACAAGTGGGTGAGAGACGGAGCAGGAGGTGGGTGACTTCCTCAAGAGGGAGATAAGGAAGGCCTCATTTCTTTTTATTTTTTTTATTTTATTTTTTATTTTTTTTTAAGATTTTATTTATTTATTTGACAGAGATCACAAGTAGACAGAGAGGCAGGCAGAGAGAGAGAGAGGGAAGCAGGCTCCCTGCTGAGCAGAGAGCCCGATGCAGGACTCGATCCCAGGACCCTGAGATCATGACCTGAGCCGAAGGCAGCGGCTTAACTCACTGAGCCACCCAGGCGCCCCTCTCATTTCTTTTTAAATAGATTTCTGAGATGGCTTGTGCAATCTCCAGCAGCCTCTCCTGAGTATCTTTATGCAGCCCGCCAGTGTTCTCAGCTGTGGCTCACTAGGAACTCGCCTCCTATCTACGGAGGCAGAATCCTTGGGATTGGAGCTGGGTGTGTGGCGGCCTGTAGCGTCTCTGTGGGCAGAAGAGTGCCTTGGAGGAGAACAGGATTGGTAGCCGGTCTGCTAGCCTGGAATGGAACCCCTAACATTTAAGACATTTCTCCTGATCTCTGGGAACTTCCAGCTTAGCAGACGATTTAAAAACATGTGCCCAGAGGGCTTTCTGTCAGGCGAGGCTTTGAGAATAGTATGGACCAAACATTATCAGGGTAGAAAGGAGGAGGAGGGAAGGCACCGATGGAAAGCTTCACGGAGGAGGGGGTATTTCCATGGGGGCCTTGCGGGGAGGGGATTGGATTATGATGGAGTTGAAGGAGGGTAGGGATGGGCGGTGAGAAGGCAGGGGGCCCTGGTGGCGTCTAGAAGTTAGACCAGCTTGCGGGAATAGTGGGTGCCAAGGCCGAGAGCCTGAGGGACTGGGGAAGCCGAGCTAAGGAGTCTGGGTTTTGTTGGACGGCCCCAGGGGGTTTTGCAAGTTCCTTCTCGGGAGTTAGCACATTTGACTGTAGGATGACGACTCCGGCTGCAGACCAGATTGTTATCCTCTACCTCTGATGGATCAGCAAATTCTGTTTGCCCAGAGTCCCTCTAAATGGAGCGCTTTGGAAATAATTTGACTATGAATTTATAAATTAGGCCATGAAACTGTGACAAAGGATAGCATAGTCATGGAGAGGCCATCTGGTTTGCCCGGGACCGTCCAGTGTTTATCGTACATTAGCTAAAGAGAATGATTGCACCCAAATTTCTGAAATTCTTTAAGAATCTTTGGAAAATGGTCTTTGTGCTCTTCATCACCAAATGGCCCATTCTGCCTCGGAGTTTAGGTGTTGGTACCCACTCCCCTCCCAAAGATGAATGAATGAAGGGATGAATTCAGTGACTCAAGGAATATTAAATACCTACATGGTATTCAGTACCTACAGGGCCCTGGATTCCCAGTGCCAGTTTCAGTCTAGGGGTGGACACAGACATGAGCCAAATACTGACCAGGTGTCAGTGGTCAAGCACTGTGAGCAAGGGGGAATGGACCCCAAGTGCAGGTAGTAGGGTAGACAGCTCCCTCTGCGGGAGAAGGTTAGGAAGGGCTTTGCCGAGCAGCCAGTGATCGGACTGAGCTCTGAAGGTGGGTAGGGTGCACACGAGTTGGGATTGGGGTTGGGGTGGCGGCCTTCCAGGCCGGGGGAGCAGGTTTGGCCAGCCGTGGAAGGGAGCCTCCCATCGGAGGAACTGGAAGGCTCTGGTACCATCTGTGGTGATGTTTGGGTCTGAGTAGCCTCAAGTAAACGAGATGAAACATACAATCCTTGCGGCGGAAAACAGTTGGGGTTACATTTTGTGTTAAACATTTATGGATGAAATTTCTAAGGATTGAGAGAAATACCTGAAATGCCCAGTAAAGTACAAGGAAGAATCACTCACAGCCACAGACTCAAACACCCACCATTCTTCACATTCTGGTTGCTTTTATCGTCAGTGTGTATCTTACGCAGATGATTAATGAAGACGTGCAAAGCACACTGTGTATATTGCTCGTTCCTGCTGCTTCTTGCTAGTAAGTTATAAATAGCCGCACACTGTGTTCTGTACTCGAAGTATCCTTTTTAGCCGCTGCATAATACTCCGCCCTGCTTTCGTGTGTTGGCCAGGTTCCACCCTTGCTCTCAGTCCTCCTGGAGGAAGATCCATGAAAGGGTGTGCAGTCTCCTGACATCCCACAGAGCTCAGCAAAACCTGCACAAGGTAGGGCTTCTGAAACAGTGGAATCTCTACTGACAAAATCACATGGGAACGGGGGCATCAGTCTAGGGCTAGGGGCAGTGGGGCAGGGGGAGAGACAGACATTAATCCAGTAACCACAGAGTTAAATGTAAAATTGTGATGCTTACTAAAGAGGGGGCCTGGTGTCCTGAGAGCATCTGAAAGGGGGCACTTGACTTGGTGGGGAATCAGGGCAGGCTTCCTAGAGGAAGAAACCAGGGAGCTTCCATCTGAGCAATGAGTTGCAGAGAGTTTGCAGGGTGGCACCCGCTGGGTGGAGGTCCTGCAGGGACGGGGAGCATGGACCTTTCAAAGAGAGAAGATGGTCTCCCTGGCTGGAAGCCCAGACCTGTGCACCGTGCACAGGAATCCCCCAGTCCAGAGAAGTTGTGGTCTGTGTGAGGCTACAACATGGAAGAAAACATTAAAAATTGATAAGGTGTTTTGGCTGTTTGACGTGTGGGATCTGGGGAGTGTTTCTGACCCATAGATAAGATACACCCAGTACTTTCTCTACTGCAGGCTAGCGGCAGTTAGCCAAGTGACCCATCATCGTGTGAAAAGAACTCAAATGAAAGGTTAGCAGTGGCCCCAGTGGTTGGATTTAAGGATACTGTATCATAGTCAAAGTGGTCATCTTGGTCTTAACTTAAACACAGGCATAGCCCAGATTTATAGAATGACTCTTATAAACGAATATTGATTTTCACAGGGAGGGGTTGTAAATTACTTTGCTTCCTCTTGGCAAAGTCATTGGCTTTGCTTTGTTAATTTCTAGTCTTTTCAAGTAAAATAATCCTTTGAAAATGTAAAAAGAAGGGAAGGAAGGGAGGGAGGGAGAAGAACAAGAAAGAAGGGAGAATTTGCATGTACGTGTACACACGGATACTAAACCCTCCCCACTGCCATGTATGGCAGACATGAGGTCCATAGGCCTCTTAACTGCAAAAGCACACATCTGAGTAGCATTGATTTATATGTGTAATGATTTATATGTTACACTATGTGTAACGCAGTTGCTGGCTTCGCTTTTATAGGAATATTCTGTCTCTGGAGCAAAGTATATCATCGAAAGACCAAGCTACCTGGTGAAGGGATACCCAGTGCATGAACAGAGATATTTTTAAGCTGCTGTCTTTTGTAAGTAAGCAGCTTAAGTGCTGCTTCTTATTTTGATTGGCTTAAATAATTTCCTGCTGTCAGGATGAAGTAATTAGAAAATGTGGTGGAGAGGAGATGGGTTGGAGACCCCAAGAACCACACAGGAGGACTACAGCATGTGTGTCTGTGGTCTGCCAGGCCTGTCTCTGTCTCTCTTTCTCTCCTCTGCCTCCCTCCCATCTTCTTTCGTGGCACCACTTCTAGCTCCTTGAATAGTCTCTTCCCTGCCACAGGGGCTTTGCACCTGTTATGCTCTGTCTGAAATAGTACTTCCTGACCCTGTTTGGGTCACTTCTCTTTATCCTCTGGTCTCATGACTTTCCAGGACACTTCCTTCCCCTCCAAGGCATACCTTTTTAGCGCGCCACCGTTTCTCTTCCTAAAGCTGACACAATTTGTTGTTATATTTGTATTTGGGTTTTATAAAGGGCTGATTGCCCTCTACTAATGAAACCTTCCCAAGGTCAGGGACTCTGTCCCTTCTGCTAACTAGTAGCCAGTTTTGGCACCCAACAGTGGAATCCCACTGAACATAGACAAAGTCAACTCCAAATGCCGGGAGTGGGCCCTGAGCGAGAACCTCACTCCCCCTCCTGCCATCCTGCTACCATCCTGGTAGCACATGACCTCGGCACTGGGCAAATATTTTTTCGTGAGTGAATGTGGAATGGGGTGACGAGACAGCTGTAGAATTCAGGTCTGTGGTCAGTAGTTGGCCACACTGTCGGGTGACGTTATTCCTGAGGTGTTCTCTTCTCATCCCTTTCTATCTGGGCCTGGAATTATGATACCTCTTCCTTATTAAGCACTTCCCAAGCTCCAGGAGCTGGTGCCAACACTTCACATGCATCAGATGAGTTAATACCTAATTCTTACCACACCCTTATGAAGTAGGTTCTACCATTAGTTCCATTTCACAGATAACGAAACTGAGTCATGGGGAGGTTTAGGTGACTTGCTCAGGGTCACATGGCCAGTGAATGGCATGTCTGAGAATATGAACCTGGGTGGTCTGGCTTCAGACACCATGCTTTTTTTTTTTGTTTACGTTAAAAATTTTTTTAAAGATTTTTTAAAAAAATTTATTCATTTGAGAGAGAGAGTGTGAACAAGAGCATGAGCAGGGGAGAGGGGCAGAGAGAGAGAGAAGGGGAGAAGCAGGCTCCCCGCTGAGCAGGGAGCCCGTTGTGGGGCTTGATCCCAGGACTCTGGGATCATGACCTGAGCCGAGGGCAGACGCTTCACCTAACGAGCCATCCAGGCGCTCCCAGCAACCATGCTATTAAAGCATTACATTCCATTGTCTCCCCAAACCTAGATTGTGATAGGGGAGCCCTGGGGTGAAGGAGGGGAGCCCTTTGGAATTGAGCAGGGTCTGTGGACATCACCCTTGATCATCTCCCGTGAGGAGCCTGTGCTCTTACGAACGCAGCAACGACAGCCTAGAGACATCGAAATTATTAGGAACCTTTTTGAGCCGTGAAGGCGTGTGGGATGACACGCTAGGTGTTCACGGTAGGCAGGCTCCTGAAAGTCTGGCTCAAGGGCCATTCGCGCTTTAGGCACAAGCCACCTTGCACCCAGGCTGGCAGGACTCTCCGCCATCAGCACCACGGAATGTGGAGGAGGGCTCGCTGATAGCCCATTCTGCAAGCTTCTACCTCAGAACGTTCTGCTCGGTCGATGAAAGGGTGGATTCCGGGCCACTTAAGCTCCAGTTGCCAAAATCGTCATCTAGGTATTTATTAGGCGTGGCCACGTAATGACCGCCATGGGAACGTGGCCACGTAATTGCTGAATGCCAGGCTGTGTTGACTCTCAGCGTGGGGGACATCAAGTTACATAAAACCAGCAGATACGTGGTTGCTGGTGGGAGGGAATAGAGAGGAGGGAAGAAAAAAATTGAGTAACTCCTGTCTTAGAAAGTGGGTTTCCTTGGGGCGCCGGGCTGGCTCAGTCAGTGGAGCGTGTGACTCTCCATCTCAGAGTCAGGAGTTCGAGCCCCATGTTGGGGGTGGAGTTTATGGAAAAAAAAAAAAGGGCAGAAAATGGGTTTCTTTGATGACATGAGTTCCCACCCAGTGGTTTGGAATGTCAGCCCCACATTTGGGTCATGCATTCATGGTGAGGCAGGGCTGGAGGGCCATGTTGGTGAACGTGTTGGTGGTTGTAAGGAAATTCAGGTGACTTCAGCTTATCTTAAGCAAACAGGGCATTTATTAGAAGGACGCTGAATATCTCCGTGAATCCAGGGAGGGTGCATACAAGGAGATCAGGCTGCCGAGATGGGACGGCTAGAGTCCTCCCAGGGGTCAGGAAGACAGCTTTGGGAGGAGCATGTGCAGGAGCCTCCGCAGGCTCCCACCCCTTGTCCCCCGCCTTGCTTTTCTCAAAGACGCCCTCCCGTTTGCAGCTCTAGTTCTTATTTCGTGCCTTCTCAACCTCTGCGCTCACTGTTGAGCGGACATCTCTCTTCTGGGTTCCTAGTGATCTCCAGCCTGGGGGAAATGGAACAGTAAACCTTAGCGCAGAAGGGCCAGTGATTCTTGAGCCCAAAACAGTGAATCCGATTGTCTGACAAGGGAACGGGTGGAAGAACTGGGTGGGCGGGGGGTTGGAGTACATCTATTTCTCGTTATTCTGGATGTTTTGGGACTTGGTACTTTTGGTATAAAATAGATGATCCCTTGTATACTTTGAAATGGTTAAAATTTTATAAACATAAGCACAATTTCGTGTTATGTGACTTTGCCCCCCCGCGCCCCTGGCAAATCCCATAAACCACTTCCTACTCCCTCCAGGATCAGCCCTAGTTCTCTTAGAAGGTGTGATTGTCTCTGTGTCATGGTCCTTACCAAGGGTGGGATCTGATCGTCCCTGTCTGGCATGAGCTCACTGGGACTCCGCTTTCAAGGACGGGCTTCCAGGGCCCCCTTCTGTGACACCTCCAGGTCCCGCAGGCAGACCCAGGCCCTCTGCCTTCTGCTCCCAGACCTGCCTCCACTTAGCACCTCATTCCTCCAACCCTCATATCGGAGTTGGTTTTCGTTAGGGTAACCCTCCCAAGAAGGGAGCAGAGACTGACCAGATGGCCCCAGCTCTGGCCCATGAGTGTCCCACCACCGTGGCCGGCCAGCAGGAGCCACCCCACTAGGGATGCTCCTAGGAGGGTGGCCAAGGAACTCAGGGCTTATGTCCTCAGACGCAGACAAGAACTGTAGCATAGAAACCTTTCTAAAATTAACGAGGAGCAAAATGGAAATAAACCAAGAAAGAAACCAAAAAAAAGACAGAAATTAATGAGAAAGCTGGTTTCTGCTCTGTCATAGCTCATTCGGCCTCCAGGTCCTGCGACAGTGGCTGGCACGGCTTCCAACCTCACTTGTCCCGAGTGGACAGGCAGGAGCTGTGGTACCTCCTCTCCCTGGGGTCCCTTCACCTGTGTTACAACCAAAGCAAAAAGTAGGTCAGCCTGCACATCCCCAGCTCCAGCCCCGGGGCCTCTCTCTGACTCAGTCACAGCTCGGAGGGGCCTATTGTTTGGTGGCTTATGGGGATTGATACAATGGATGATGTCGCCCCTCCCTTCATCCCAGGACCTCTAGTCTCGCCAGTCCAACAGACACAGGTGGTAACTGGCCACCCAAACCATGGGGCACATTCCTCGGTCAGTGGTCCTCGGTGAACATTAGAATCACCAGGGGAGGGGGAGGCGCTCTGAAAACTCCTGATCCCTGGGCCTCGCTCTGGACCTATTTAATTGGAATCTCTTTGGGTGGTGCCTGGAAAGGATTTTTTTTTTTTAATTAAAATTTTTTTTATTAAATTTTATTTTTTATAAACATATAATATATTTTTATCCCCAGGGGTACAGGTCTGTGAATCGCCAGGTTTACACACTTCACAGCACTCACCATAGCACATACCCTCCCCAATGTCCATAACCCCACCACCCTCTCCCGACCACCCTGCCCCCAGCAACCCTCAGCCTGTTTTGTGAGATTGAGTCTTTTATGGTTTGTCTCCCTCCCGATCCCATCTCATTTCATTTATTCTTTTCCTACCCCTAAAACCCCCACGTTGCATCTCCATTTCCTCATATCAGGGAGATCATATGATAGTTGTCTTTCTCCGATTGATTTATTTCGCTCAGCATAATACCCTCTAGTTCCATCCACGTCGTCGCAAATGGCAAGATTTCATTTCTTTTGATGGCTGCATAGTATTCCATTGTATATATATATACCACATCTTCTTTATCCATTCATCAGTTGTTGGACATCTAGGTTCTTTCCATAGTTTGCCTATTGTGGACATTACTGCTATAAACATTCAGGTGTATGTGCCCCTTTGGACCACCACATTTGTATCTTTAGGGTATATACCCAGTAGTGCAATCGCTGGGTCGTGGGGTAGCTCTATTTTCAGCTTTTTGAGGAACCTCCATGCTGTTTTCCAGAGTGGTTGCACCAGCTTGCATTCCCGCCAGCAGTGTACGAGGGTTCCCCTTTCTCCGCATCCTCGCCAGCATCTGTCATTTCCTGACTTGTTAATTTTAGCCATTCTGACTGGTGTGAGGTGGTATCTCATTGTGGTTTTGATTTGTATTTCCCTGATGCCGAGTGACGTGGAGCACTTTTTCATGTGTCTGTTGGCCATCTGGATGTCTTCTTTGCAGAAATGTCTGTTCATGTCCTCTGCCCATTTCTTGATTGGATTATTTGTTCTTTGGGTGTTGAGTTTGCTTTTTTTAAAGATTTTATTTATTTATTTGTCAGACAGAGATCACAAGTAGGCAGAGGGACGGGCAGAGAGAGAGGAAGGGAAGCAGGCTCCCAGCCAAGCAGAGAGCCTGATGCGGGGCTCCATCCCAGGACCCTGGGATCATGACCTGAGCCAAAGGCGGAGGCTTTTAACCCACTGAGCCAGGTGCCCCTGGAAAGGATATTTTTAAAAATGTTCTTTGGGAGATTCTGATGCACATTTAGGATGGAGAATCCTGCAGGCGGCTTGAGATGGGGGACTTGGAATACCAACCCCCCCCAATCTTATACGGACTCTCTCCATGCCCAAAAATATGATCCTGTTCATGGAACAGAATTGGGGCGGGCTTAACAGTTCAGCCCAGCTTCTGTGCATTCACTGTGAGCCCAGGAGGCTGTGTACTCCTCAGGAGAACACTAAGAGGTAGATACTCGGCTTATCTCATCCTGATATGATGCAAAGAAGGCTGGTAGCTTGCAGAAGGTCACAGGCCGCTGGGTCCGGCTACCTAAAGCGGCCTCCTCCCGCCCTGAGGCTATAGAGCCGGCTCAGACCCCCGTGATCCCAGGTAGGGCTCCGTGCCAGGACTGGGCTTGAGTGACACCACCTTCTCCTCCGGGTGCTGACAGTTTGCCTTTTTCTCTGTACCATGTGCAGCGTGTGAAACTTCCAGCTGCACAAGGGAACCTGAAGGAGAGCGGGAGGAGCGTCGTAGACAATTCACTCAGGGAGCCAACTGACACGTCCTCAGAGAAAGGAACAACAGCTTTTGTTACGAATCACCAGTGTCTCACCCCTTTCAAATCAAACCCTGTACTCAGTCTTTTGTGCCCAGGTAAGAGTCACTGATTAAAGTGTTTCCTGTGTGGGGCTCATATTTTCTTGTCAAGTCAGAGAATTCATGTTATAGTTGGCCGATGTGTTTCGAGCTCCAAATAGAAAATAACTGTAGTTGGGTGGCAGGTGCTTTTTCATTTAGAAAGCACTTTTTGGAATTCTAATGAAAGCGTCAGGATGGCTTTTCAGGTGCTCCTCATTTGTGTCACTGTGTGTGTGTGTGTTTTAAGATTTTACTATTTATTCCAGAGAGAGAGAGGGAGAGTGAGAGCGCGCGCACAAGTGGGTGGAGGGGGCAGCGGGAGAGGGAGAAGCAGACTCCCTGCTGAGCAGGGATTCCCGAGATCATGACCTAAGCCAAAGGCAGTGCTTAACCAACTGAGCCACCCAGGCATCCCACTGGATGTGTTTTTGGAAAGTTTTTAAATTTTTCCTTCCTTCCTTTCCCTCCCTCCCCTCCCGCCTCCCCCTTTCCTCTGCTCTCCCTCATTTCCCCCTCCTCCTACCCTCCCTCCTTCCTTTCTTCCTTCCTCAGCTTAGATCTTACATGAGCTAGAGGAGGCTGCTATGTAGAGGAATAACCTGAAAAATCCTCCAGGAAAAGGCTGTCAACCTGATTTTCTTTTCGGTAAATCTGTTTTTTGTGGTTGGTTTGTTTTTTTAGTGTTAGGCTTGATTTACACAAAGTCCACTGACAACTTAGGAGGAGGGAGCCTTACATCTGGAGAACTCAGATCTTGCTCTAAATGTTCCCCTTCTAGGATACGTTTGTAAGAGGAGCCTGGTTTCTTAGGACTGTAGTTTAAACCACTCCTTCTGTCACCTGCCCCTGCCCCTTTTCCAGCAGTGCTTAATACATTTATAAGAGGAACAAAACCTTCCCCAAACATTTCTGTGGAGAGCTACTTTAAGTAAATATACTCTGCAAACATGACTGCCAAAACCAGATTTAAAATGAGCTAGAAGGCACCCTGGGGAAATGTTCACACAGACTGAGGGAGCATGAGGAGGAGGACCGGCCGGGACGATGTGGGGCTGGAGACGCATTTGTCTTTGTGCGGACAGGCCCAGAGCCAAGGGGCCTGAAAACGGGAGCCTTGGTCTTTCCTTCGCGTTATAACCTGCCATTTTCCTCTACCGTACCCTAAATCCTTTTTAGTTTTTAAAGGATTCAGTGACAGTCAAATTTCCTTCTCTCATTAGGACGACAGTAATCGGCTTGGGAGGTAAATTAGGAATACAACATTAATAAATAAAGGAGGAAAAAAAACCCAAAACAATAAAACAAAGTTCATTTATTCTCTTCTCAATTTCCAGCCACATAGTAAAGATGTGTATGTTATAACAGGGATTTCATCCACTTTGGAAAACAGACAAATGCTTGATTACACCTGCTTGTCCGTTCGGGTGTGTCTGAGACTACAGTTGTCCGTTATTTTGATGTCTAGTCATCATTAAAAATAAAAAAATACTGTGTTATGTGAAGGCTGTGACATGAGGCCCGGAAAAGAACCTCTGACAAAGGACATAAGCAGCTCGAGGAAGCCCATTCCAGTGGGATGGCGTCCCGGGTCAGTCAGCTCAAGTGGATGCCGGCACGGTCGCTGTTCAGGTTTTCTGAAATGGTTTGAGTCTAATTCCTCGATTCAGTTTAGGTATCAGATCTTAAATGCCCATACTTATTTAAAGTCTTTTTTTTTTCTGTTCTGCAAATCAATCTTCTTTTCACTTTCTGATGAGTTAACTCTATTGTTTATTCTTATTTTACCTTTTTTATGTCTCAAGGAGTTATTTCCATTTTGAGGAATCACCTTGGGGCCAGGATTGCAGTTGAGGTATTTTGCTTTTGGGGTATATAAGAATGTGAATAATTTTGTGAGGGATTGGGATTCCTTTGGGAAGATCTGTGTCATTAAACATGGTAAAACATTCCCACCTGTCTTGCTTCAATTTGTTATTCCTTTCTGACTTGCACAGGTGCAGATCTGTCAAAGCCTGGACTGTATATTCCAAGCAGGTGTGATGGGGTCTGGGTTTGCAGAGGCTCCTGGGAAAATCTCCTGGGCCCTCCATGCAAAAGCCACTGTGCAAAGTGGCCATTTTCCTAAGGTCTCTTGACTGACCCAGAGTTAACTGAAACCTATAGACCGTGAATTCTAAATAAGATTTAAAAAATGAGTGTGCACACGATATGTTTAACTTAAGAAAAGGTGGTTGGTTTTAAACGCATAACTGAGAGGATGGATGGGTCATGTGTGTGAGTTCAACCTAGCTCCCAAGGCCTGGCCACTCTTAATAATGGCCATGACTCTGCTCCACTAGTTCCATTAAAGGAGCTGTCCGGCGTGTCTGGGGGCAGCCCGAGGAAAGGGCATGCCTTCTGTCCATGGGTGACAGTGATCCCACTGGTGCTGCTGTCCTTCTCTGAGCTGGTGACCCATCCCCACACCCCCTGGGGACGTGCGGGTTTGGAGTTCCCAGGTCCTGGGAACCTTGCGGGCAGTGAGAAGTACTTCACCCCTTGGGTCTGCTCTCACTGGCTCCTCCACGCTAGGTCTGGGGCAGCTGCGGCTGTTTTGTACATGAGAGCAAAGAGCTTATGCTAGGTTTCACCTTCACGGCGAGGACGTTTGGCATAGAGTCATCATGCCGAGGACTAGAGCTTTTCCTTGCTGCAAAGGGGCATTTCCAGGATGGGTGGGTTGTCGAAGCTTCTCCAGCAGATTAAGGCGATCCCAGTCCGAATTGTCCTCCTGGGGATTCTATATCTTTTAGAGTGAGCCTCCAGCACTCCTGTAAGTATGTATTTTTCTTATCTTTATTTTAAAAAAGTGCCCTGTGGCCCATGGCGTACAATCAGCCCTCCTCATCTACCTGTAACTCTCCTGCTGGGGCTCCTTTGCTGTCTGTGGCTCCGAGACTGCAGCTTTGCCTCTGATAACAGGCAATAACCGTGATATATGGGCCGGATTTGCTTTGTCCGAGTGGGAGGGTCACACGGGGTGGGGGAGGGAAGCTTCAACACCAGGAACTCCAAGCTGACAGCACTCAGGGCCACCAAGGCCAGCCCCGGATATGGTGAAGGGGATTTGTGGGGGCTGCCAGATTGCTGAGCCATCCGCATTTGGACTTTATTATTTTTAAAAAGATTTGTTTTAGAGAGAAAGAGCACAAGTGGGAGGGGCAGAAAGAGGGAGAGAGACTCTCCAGCAGACTCGGGGCTCAATCTCCTGACCCTGAAATCACCACCTGAGCCGAAACCCAGGTGCCCCCAGAAGTAGGGCTTTAAAGGGCAGAGGGAGAAGGGAGCCCGCTGGCAAGGCAGAGAGTTCACGCTCAGGTGAGAGTCGAAGGCTGTGCTGGGTTGGGATCGGCTGGGAACCAGCCGGGCTGTCTTACTGCCTGTCCTCCCAGCTTGAATGGGTGTGGAGGGCGATTTGTTCCAGTCCCTTCCACAGAGGCCAGGACAAGGCAACGCTGAGGGAGAGTTACAGCCTTGTAAAGACCTTACCATCTACTTTGGGAGACTTGGGATCCCAGTAAAGAAGTGGAGTAAAGCGTTTCCTCTTTTTTTCGTTCCTTTGTTGGGTGCCAGGAGCTTCCCAAGGGCACCACAGTGAGGGCTTTGGAGTGCACCTGGATTTCAGTCCTGCCCCTGCCGTGTCCTGGGTGAGTGACCGGGGCAAAGTGACCTAGAACCTCTTTGTGTCTCAGCATCTGTCCACGTACGTTGGAGGATTACAGTATCCACTTTGTGACGTCACTGTCCAGCACTGTGTATTGGTGCCCGGCACAAAAGAAGCCTCCGTAAGTACCGGCTGTTACCATCGGCATCTCGTTTCATTATTTGAGGAAGGCGTTTGGCCTCCTGCCCGCTTTTTTTTTTTTTTTTTTTTTTTTTTGCGCTAAGGCTACCAAGGCTCAGAAGAGCTAATGAGTGCCAGAGCCAATTTCCAAGTCATGGTCTGTTTTGTCTCTCAACCTCATATTCTTTCTACCACTTTCTGCCACCCCCGATTTGTCACCTGATTGTCCCCGAGGCTTGTGCATCCTAGATCATTCAACCTAAGGGGTTTGCAAAAAATGAGCTCCGAACATTCCAGCAGAGTGACAGAGCAACTAAGTTCTCCTGACAGGAGTTGGAACGAGGTCGGTCGCTTCTTGTTGAGGTCAACGAGAGAGACTTTCTGCTCTGATTTCATATCCCTGGAATGTGATGTTTGTAAATAGCGTGTTTAGGAAGCCAGCTCCCTTCCTCTGCTGCCAACTAGAAATCTCTGTTCCTTTTCCTCCGGGAACTGACACTTATGTTGGTTTCATGGACGGAGGTAACTCTCACGGCCGTTTCAGTGGGGTGATTCGCAGGGACGGACTGTGTGTAACCAGGTCGTTGCTGGAAGTGCTGGGTTCGCGGTGGGAAAGCGCCATCGTGAGACGGTCACATGTCCTTGCATAAGGGAAGTTCTGCACGGGTGAAGGATGCCACCCTGTGTTCATGGAGTCCCCTGGTCTCCCATCCCTGACAGTTCACTAAATCAGTTCCACAGTCGCGTATGGGCTCACCCAATTTGCATTTATTAGGCTCCTACTGTGTGCTCAGTATGGTATCGTGCCCTGGGGGGTGTGGGTAGTGATGAGCCCTGTGAGGAGTAGAAGGTAGAGCTCGTGCCATCAGGAGTCCCTGGACTTGCTAGGGCCGTGAGATGCGGCCTGTGTGACTCTCAGAAGCCGTTGCAGACTCCATTGCGGGATTCGTGACCGTCCGAAGCAGTGGGGTTTGAGATAACCAGCGGGGACTGAGGGAACTGGACAGTGTAAGTCCACCCCCTCCACCTCCGTTCCAGGTCTCCAAGCTCGGATCGAAAACAAAAGGCTCTGTGGCCACATAAAGCTGGTCTAAAGCTGAATCATGTCCACTGCCATGTGTTTTGACTCGTATTTAAGAATATCCAATAATGAGGGGCACCTGAGGGGCTCCATCGGTTAAGCATTCCCAGT